TTGACGTTCATGGCCATGTACATAAGTGATGTTGATTGCCATTTGAGTTTAAAATATACATACAGTCCTGTTTGGAATAATGATGTTATAAAAGTAATGTAATTCAAATTTCATGCAGAACTTTCTGAAAACTTCAGTTTATTTAATGTTCTGAGTATTTTTCTTTCGGTCGAGAAATAAAGTAAAAAGAAACATGTTGGATGAGGATTAATGAAAACCACGATAAACAAAGTGGATGTTACGTTTGGGAGGGTTTCAATCTTTACATGGCAATATCTATAATTGTATACCTCTTATCTTTACATGGCAGTATATATATAATTATATACCCTCGACATCATGTAATACATTTCTGTTTAAACTATGATGGAGGAACACTAATCTGTTTTACCTTACACCGACCACCACTTCCTGTATCCATGGTTACTGATAGGATTTTCATGCCTTGGTCAAGACAGGTGCTGAGATGTTTGTTCTTGGTAAATGACCAGTGTTATACAGAGCAGCATCTAATCCGACAGGAAGACAACAGGCTACAATAGTGTAATGGAGGAGAAAGAAGGCAAGATTCTGAAATCAGTGCAGTGTGATGGAGGGGGTTGGGGGAGGGGGTGGGGGGGTGTTGTAATCCTTTCACTAAGATAATCAAGTATGGTATGGCATTCAGCAGACCGTGTCAAGATTCTGTAGCTCTGTGGAGCATGTATTGTAACAACAACCATAGAGGCTGATACTGGTTCCTTGATCTGTGTTACAAGTGTAAAAGCTATTATTGTCTCTATCTGAATCATGAATTTGTTCCAAATGTATCATAGACTGAAGTCATAAAAGCATATATGTAAATGTCTACATATCATCATTGCCATAGTTACTGTATCATATGGAAATTTGATTGGAGATTCATCAGCGAACGATAAGTAAAAGGCAGTAAGATTGGCTCTACGCAAACCAAACATTAACCACATAGAGATCCATGAACGTACGGACACTAATTGGTGATAAAATGTATAATGTATATTAACGTCAATTAGTTCGGCAGATCTGGAGGTAAGATGTTTTATCAGTAATCATTGGTATTAGCCTACAGGGATACTGGTATCATTATAGACAATCCCAGAGTAAAGCCAGGGGACTAACGTTTACAGAGGATTCATGTTCCAAGTGATTACGTACAGGTTAACGAGATAAACCAGGTATACCGTAGGCAGCGTATCTTTGTTTCATTAGTAAGGTATGTATATCTCATTACCAGGTTACTGTAAGACAGTGTATCTACGTTTCATTCGTTTATTTAACCTTTAACTTACATAGGTATTTGTTTCTGTTTACATTCTTAAAGTGCTCTGATGTTTGGTTGTTATCTTTACAACGAGAATTGACACACAGACCACCTTCAGCTCTTACTAAGACAGGTAGGATTCCTAGTAGAAGTGAAGACATGCAAGGGCCGATTCTTTAATTGTGCATCTGTATTGAACTGGTGTCGTTTAATTAGTGATGTTCATTATACTGATATAAACTATAACATGCTCCGTCCCATGTTATAATCCCTGGCTGGTAAGTAACCTGCTTCAGTCACATCTCATAAGCTGTAGATGCCATTAGTGTCAACATCCCCCTCCCCATGTAAGAATTTACAAGTTAAACTTGTGCCAGAAAGTTAAATACTTAAATACTACTGTGGCGAGGTGAAGCTCTTCAGCAGCTGTACCTAATATTTAGGTGGCTATGAAAAGATTTTTCCATTATTACTTAATAAGTTACACGTGCTAGCTGAAAATAGAACAGATCAAACCAGTAAACCAACCAACTGTTTATATATTATAATATTTTTGTTTACAAATTACAACCTCTGTAGGATCACTCCATCAATCCTGATCTAACTTATGAGTAACAGATATGTTTAGTAATTACAGCTGGGGTGACTAGTACAAATCATTTATCATCTTTGGTGATACATAATTTATTAAAGGGTAACAACCTTAAGTATGCTACAGAGACGAAGGACACTCTAGTGAGGACATGTATGAATAATAAGGAGAAATATGAATCTGATGTAAAATTAAATATAATGATGAAACACTCTAAAAATAAATACTGTCAAATGAGTGCACCGTCTAAATGGGGTCCGTCTAGATAACTTCAGATTTTGAAGGTTATGTTGACCTTGTACAAAGAATAGTAGGTAAGAAAAGGACACAACCTTGGTATTTGTCTACCTATACTTACACTGTAGGTCATACTAATGTGTTGTGTACTATATATGTACTATACAAGAGATAATGATATTGAGGAACCTGTAATAACTGACCCCACTATAAGGCTGATCCCTTCAAACAGGTGCTTGTCTAGTGAATGACAGAGGTAGGTAACGTGTGAAGTAGGGGAAGTATCCGACAGCTTTTTTCCATCCTGTCAGACTAACTGCTGTTTGATTGAAGTAACAGGTTTTTACTTAGACTTTGAAGTCAGTCTGACTGTGTGAGGAAGATATATATGTATACAATTACCTTATAACTGTTGTACATGTATTACTTTTCATGTTTGTGTATTACTTTTCATGTTTGTGTATTACTGATCATGTTTGTGTATTTTTTTGTGTATTACTTTTCATGTTTGTGTATTACTTTTTATGTTTGTGTATTACTTTTCATGTTTGTGTATTACTTATCATGTTTGTGTATTACTTATCATGTTTGTGTATTACTCTTCATGTTTGTGTATTACTTATCATGTTTGTGTATTACTTTTCATGTTTGTGTATTACTTTTTATGTTTGTGTATTACTTATCATGTTTGTGTATTACCTATCATGTTTGTGTATTATTTTCATGTTTGTGTATAACCTATCATGTTTGTGTATTACTTATCATGTTTGTGTATTACTTTTCATGTTTGAGGAAGATCAGTCATATGCAATTATCAAATACCTTATAGGAACATCAAGACTATTGTAGGATTTGTAAACAAAATGTTGAATCATATCTTATTATTAGTTTTAGACATGAAATATAGGGCACATGGTATGTACTTAATGATCAGTATCCAGTAAAAATATTTAAAAATAAAGATACTATTCTCCTGTTTGTTATTATAAAGACAAAAACAAACTTGTCTTGTGAACTTTAAAAGTTTAATTTTTTGTACCTTGTATATAAAAGTGTGTGCATGTCTTATTCACCAATGGTAATATTGGGACATCTAGAGATAAGGAATTCCCAAATTGAATTTGAATTATTTGATTACAAGGTGAATCCGCCAACTAATGGTTGTACAATGAACTGTGTGACACAGATTGACATAAGAAATCTCACACCTATGCTAGCTGATATCTATATGGCTGACACAAACATTCTGGTTCAACAACTTCTGGACCACTAAAAAATAACCTCAATACAAATCTGAAGTGACAGGATTTTCTCATGCAGATCTTCTCCCTACAGACTAAAATAAACTGAAACTTGAATCCTGTTGTGAATAAGATGTCTAAACTGTGATAAATTGCCTACATTATAGACCACTCTACCATACCCTTTGAGTGAGAAGTCTGATTTTAGACTGTGGCAGTTTAAGAATTTGAACAGATTTGAATTAAAGGTAGTTTGAAAGCCTCAAAAAGCTATGGTATATTATGAAAAAGGCTGAATAAATTATTTGAAATCATGAAATTATCATTGTGATTCTGTGAACCCCAATTCAGTTATAATGAGGTAATTATACGGAGTGTGTACAAGCGTGTCGGATCGTATAGATGTGTGTCATTTCAGGAATATGATATTAAACACATTAACTATTGACTTGCTGAAATTGATTTACTATGAAATCAATTTTTAATGCCAGTAATATGATGATCCTGTCACAAAATTACAGAGTGCCATGTGTACAGAAAATCAAACAAGTCTCTCATTACAAAATATATTTTTGTGAAAAGTCTGAGCTAAGGTTTAAATTTTAAATTTGGAGACTACCTTTATAGTCAAACATTGATATTTGAAGTTCTGGTTCTGGAACCATGAGAAACTATTCAAATAAATCGGGTAGTTGATAAGCTTGAGTTTAAATATTATATATAATAAAACTGAATTAAAAAGGGATCTGGTAATAATAAGATACCCAAGTTCATTAGAAATGGAACCAAGAAAAGAATCTTGAAATAAATGATGAAAACAGTTTAACCGAAACTCAACAAACTTAATGGGGCTTGTGCAAGTCTACACAAAACAGAATGGATTGCACTACCTGTTACCTATAAACATACACACAACATGTAGTGCTCCTATAGGATCTTAAAATAAATCTGGTGTTTCTTCTACAACACACTGTATAAGCTGTAGGTCTACACGGTTGGACTTTCTTCTATATGAATTTGAAACCTCTTCAACATTCCTTCAGCCCTAGCAGCAATTATTGGCAGGCTACCTATATATTAACCCACTGATTTACAGTGCTTTTAACTCTAGGTTTGGATATATACACACATCATGGTTTCTCTGTACAACTTTCATCTCCAGGAAGAAAACACTACCAGAAGACCCCTGGAAATGTGAAAACAATTTGTGAATGGGTTTTTCATGATACGATGTACTGCCAATGGTGGCATTTAACACACTCTCTTCGTCAATAGGTGCAATCTTTTCTCCTGATATCGTGATATAGCTTGTTTGTACAAATTGCAGATGTGTTAGAAAAAAAGTCAGCTTTAGCTATAAATATACACAAAATATATAAATACCACCTGATAGTGTTGGATACATTGGATGGAGCTGTGATCAAATTCTGAGTAATCGTTTTATTTTGTGACTTTGTTACAATTAATATTTTTGACCAAGTGATTATTTGCAAAGGTGGACTCCGTATTGGATGGATTCATACTTATAAATCTGCAGATTATAAAGTACAATTTGGTTTACTGGTGCTTCTGATAAACAATGTTCCCATGTGCCCGATCAGTTTATATTGGTATCTGTCTAATAATCTTTTATTTTTTTCTGTACTTTCAGGAACTCATACGAGAAGTCAAGGTGAATCAAGGATCTGTTGACCTTCTTTTGGAGAAAGGTCAAAGGTTCTTGGGGACATTTCCAGACATCAAACTTAAGGTTGATCTGGAAAATTTGGCATTTTACTGGAGGACTTATGTGAAGGAGCTGCAGTCGCTGGACAACCTGCAGACCTACTGGCTTTCCACAAGGAGGCTAGAGACCCAGACAGGCAATCGCCACCTGCACCAAACTCAAGACTCGTCTGCTTTGTCTGACCTTGGTAAGAGGCCAAAGTGCATCCCAAGGTCACAGAAATGGAAGCAGTGTGTCTACAAATATGTTAAGTCTGTTGAGAATTACAAATCTCAACAGCATCCACAAGCCCCAGTTACTAAGGTAAACAGGCAAACTCATGAGATTGCCAGCCAACCGAGCTCTTCAGTAACGGAAGAGCCGAAAGGTAAAGAAGCATCTGGTAGCCATTTTATACCCAGCTTACAGGTTGGTTCCACTATACGGAAATCCACCTGTTTCTCCCACCTTCCAGACTTGTATAAATCCAGGAACCCTGTAACTACCCACCGATTATACAGCAGTATGGAAGGTCTTCGCTCCGGACCCAGATCGCCGCTTTCCGCTAGAAAAGGGGAGGGGAACTTACGCACCTTTTCACCCACTTTCGACAAGACTGGACTAAAGGATAGGAAAATCGGGTCAAATCCTGAGCTATCCTTTATTCCAGACTCGCCTACCGAACCCAAGCGACGGAGAATGGTGGACGACATATGGTCCAGTAATGTCAGTAGCCAGGTTAGCAGTCGCTCACATTCGCCCACACTTTCGATAAATTCTGAGACGACGCTGGATGACAGCTACCTCAGTACCCCCGGTTGCTCACCAGCCGCCACCCTGAAGGACCAGTTCAAGAAGCGCTATAGCAAGTACGAACTGACCATTGAGTCGGACCTGATGGATCAGTGTCTGATGGATTATGATCTTCTGGAGGCTTGTAAGGTAAGCAATTGACAACTCAATACTGTGTATAGGGCAATATTCACGAAATTGTTATTGTCATGGTTTTAATGGAATGATAAATCCACTAATTCAAAATTTCTTTAGCAACACCATGTAACTAACTATCTCACAGTAAATACATTTTTTTGAAGTTTTCTGATATAACTACATGCTCAACAATCTCACCAGGAATATTTCTTGTAAAGTAACACCGCATATAGCAACAGTCTTAGAACTACAAATTTAACAGTGGCCAAACTTTAATATTAAAAAAAATACTGCATGACATCTGAGTTGTCTAGAGTATACTGTTTCATATAAGAGATTTTTAAGAAAATAAGAAAGATAAGAACTAATGTCAACAATATGTTTTAATATAATGTTAAAAAGTATAGGACAGGAATATCATAAGTTTGGAAATTGTTAAAAGGTTATTTGTCAGTCTAGTGAAATACAAGCTACTTCCTGAGTCTTGGCTAGAGAGAATTTCCCTTGAGCTCATTTGGTAGAGCATTAGATTAGTAAACCAGAAGTATTGGGCTTGATCACTAGCAAAATTGCTACTACATAATAATAATGGCCTCTGTTACATCAGGGAAATGTTCCTATTGTGTATTGTAGGTGATGTACAATCTAAATATATGTAGCTTCATGTTAGTGCAAATTTCTCATTTGTGCTACTTTTGAAAATATCAAACCAGCATCTGAACCTAAGGCACAGACAGCATGATCAAACAAACCATTACCAAGAATTCAGGTGAATTTTTATGTTATAAATACAAACTGTGTACCAGAATATTTTGCTCTGTTTCAAACCTGTGTGATAGATGATAAAGAAAGATTTAAAAACTGGAACAGTACATAACCTACATTTGTGTACAAAAAACATAGGATTAGTGAAAAGGCGGATACAGATTTATCACCATAAAGAATCTGAATGTCTTTGTCTTTTGAAAACTTGGTTCTTTAAGAAATGTTTCCCAGGCCCTGTAACAGTATCCCGCCTCTCTGTCCTAATTTTGAGGACACTTTGAATAGATAGGTTGGAGGAAGATGAATCAGGGACCTTGATGTTTGATCATGTGATCAGCCGACTATTGTATAGCGCTGTCTGCTACTGGGAATGTGACACAGACACCATTGTAAAGTGTCATCGGCTTCGGCAGTGTTGGGAAACATGTGACTGGGATAAACGTTGTCTGCCATTGTGTTCTGTTTTAAGTCCATATTAGTATGTTGTTGAAGCCAAACAACACAGTTAATAATAATGTGCTTGGATGCATGGAGTTTTTTTAGTTAATTTTATCATTCTGAGAATTCTGAGAACAGTAGTAAGAAAATATATCATCTGCAGAAATGAAGATTTCCATGAACGATGAAAGATAAAACAGGATTTTGTTGTTCATAGTAAAATATAATCTGATTATTTTTGAAAGGATATCAGTAGGGCACCTCATTTCATTTGTTATTTTACCAATATTTCTCAAGATCCCTTTTACTTTTTTCACAGTTCGCTTTATAAGATATCCCCTAATACATTGCCAAACCCATTTATGATGTCCAAAATGAGGGAAATATAACATTATTCTGTATTTTGCATTCAGCATTTTTAAACTATGAAATAAGTGATATATTTTGTTTGGAATCGGTAAAGAAATTTTCACCTTTGATTTCAAAAGTTATATGACACCAGAATCTACTGCCTCTATCTGTTGATGTTTCCCTGTAATGAGGTGCATATCGGAACTTACCTACGGGGTATGTGATATCTGGTTTTGTGTAATTGGTCTGACCTCTATTTGTACGGTGCATGTACTGGTTCACCACAGATAGGCGGATACTTCAAACGAGGAATCAAACCTTAGGATAAAAAATTCTAAAGGTTATGTGTGTAATAAGGGCAGCTATCAAAAGGGAGTTAAAATTTGATTAATTTTGATAAAATAAAAATGATAAGAAAGGATAAGCATAAATAAAAGTTCTGTGAAAATTGAAATATAGCTACGATCACCCAAATCAATGATTATTGTAATATATTTGTATATTTACCATGCATGTAGCTGATCAGAAAAGTAAACTAGTTCAAATTTACCTGGAAATTGACAAGTTTTTATAACCTTTTTTGTACATATTGTAGACTTCCCAACTCGGAGGGTCATCCCAAGTGCAAATTTCTTTTTACTTATCAGAGGGAACATGTATTACCCAAACTTGACTGAAAATAACAGATATGTTTGTCTTTTTCTGATAAAATGCCATACATTTGGACCAAAACCCAGACAATTAATGACATACATACACAATAGGTATACAGAGTTATTACCCCCTTATATAGACAGAAACATCATATACACCTGTAAAACACAGTTATGGCATCACCGTACATTATATAGTAGAATGTACAATGAAGTACCTGTAGCTGTCCATTATTATGATCATAGCTCATGCTGCATATACACACCAATGCCTGGTCATGGTTGACTTCATTACCGGAACATTGTTCAGTAACTAGCCATTCTTAACACAAAAAGGTGTCCACTGTTAATACAAAGTGGTGCTGTGTTTTAAGCAGGAGAAAAGCCTCAAACTGTCCATTCTGCGAGAGAATGAACAGATCTCGGCCTACGGGCCTTGATCGGCTCATTCTCTCATAGAATGGACAGTTTTCCGCCTTTCTCCTTTATGTATTACCTACTATACACCTGTATTACCTGCCTGACCGATGTTTTTTTCTTTACAGTCTACAGAAAGCGATGAGGAGAATATTGGTGTCAATGCCAAGGTTTCGTTGGCCGAGTTCCAGCAGCAGTACCGAGAGCTGTCTGAATGGCTTGACCAGGTACTTCAGGTGACCAAGCGCACCATGGGAACTTTGGCCCTGTCTGAGAAGTACCTCACACAGGTGGGTAGACTCGTTAGGTATTGTCTGTGATGTCTTTTGCATTTGGCATGTACATATGCATGTGCATCCCAAAGGCAATGTGGTTTTAAAAAAACGAAGTTATTGAAATTTAATTAAATGCTATTAAGAAAATATATTAAGGTATATTTTTGTGAGACCTATGTCTTAATAAGGAAACTTTATGAAGATAATGGATGTCACTTAATACAAAGGTAACTTTGAATATTTATGGCAGGAGTTGCTTTATCTTGTACCTTAAAAGTATGTTTATAGCAAGGCGTACTTTATTTTGTACTTTTGATGATACTATTAAATATATTGGTGAAAATAGAAGAAATATTGTCAACGAGACCAAACATTGCAGTCTAAAATATAAAATTTATACATTTATTATAACCAAGAAAACTGTCTACTCAATAGGCTTAGGCTTTCAGTATGAAAGTCGTTTTCACAATTGCAAAAAAATGTGGCAGTTATATCCAGAAGAAAAGATATCCGTTTTACTGAAGTTTAAACTTGATTGATGAACCATATTTTGGTAGTTTTTAATGTAAAACGTTTCCATTATAAAGTACTGCATCTCACTGTTGGTCTGGCTGCAGATCATGTATTCATTGTTTTACTAAACAATAGTTTCCTGTCAAAAAGGTTAGAAGGGGCAGTGTGTGTAATGTCATATAAATATTATTTAAATAATAAATAGGCCTGTTTGACCTTTTAGTAGGAATTATACATTATTTTATTTAATAACAAATGGAATTGTATAGGGAGATCTAATATATGTATAGTTACCTAGTAGTGGGCATGAAAGGTTGTGAACATGCATTAAATGTTTTCAATACAAGCACCAGCAAATACCTGTTTATCTTATAAAAATAAATATTAAAATTCTGATTTAAAATGCAAAATATTTCATTTCAATCAGGGAAGAATAGTTAGGGAAGAGTTTTTATTTTTTGAAACAAATTATTAGGTAGACAGATGGCATGGTCTTGTGATACACCTTCAGGTGCGCACCCAGTAGTGTTACACCTTAATTAAGGTCTGAGAGGTGTACAGGCAGTTGTCAGTGACAACAAGATCATTAGATGCTTGTAGCCTCTCTGCCCTAGATACTGCTTACAATGGTAACTTTCCTGCAGTGAGGACATTATGTAAAATTAGTTTGACAAAGGAGTGAAGATCATCAATAAATAATTACTGTATTCTTAGAAACATTGAATGGAGTGCTATTTTTATGAGGATAGTGCTGACCGAGATTGTCTGTGTACTAATCTAGAATCAATGAGACTTGTGCTAACAGTTGTCTTATTAGGTCTACTTGACCTATACTGAAAGGTCATTGGGAGGAATAGGTTTTACTTTTACTTGACATTCATAGTAAGTCTTATTCAACTATTAAAATCTCTCCAATATTTTGATATCTAAAATTTCATGCTAACCAGCAGCTTATGTTAAATTTTCATATGATTCAGAAAGTATAGGCCATACATACAGATCTCAACCACTTCCTTAAATTTGGTGGTAGATTATCTTTATCCTGGTGGACATTGTACATTAATTATCTCTTACTTCAAACAGGTCAAAATGATATTGATCAAGACATAGGATTCTGGTTATGTCATTTTGGGAAGTAGTTACTATGGTAACTGGTCACCAGGGTAATGAGAGTGTGAAAGGCTGACTTCCTGTCTGGTGTTGACTCATCATCAACACACAGCATCCAAACCAGAAGGTGTCACATGTGTAGGGGACAGGGCCTCTCTGTAAGACACCACAATCTCTTTGTATCCATGGTGATTGTAATGGCAGAAGTGCAGTTATAATATAAATGGATGTCTTTGTCATCATTGACTTGTAGTTCATCTACAGGTGATCATACTTCATAATATATTATTGTCATGAAACCTACTGACGTAATCATAACACGTTATCGACATTTTTTACCGGTAAATAAACATCAGTCAATTCAAACAGATACATTCAACATCAACAGATGAAAACTGAAATAATTTCATGTCTACAAATCATTTCCCGTTGAGTACACATGTATACACATTATCATACTTCTTCGTATAGTTTGGTTTTGTAGATGTAATAACCACATAGCCTTTACGTTATGTAATGGTCCATGACTTCAATATTTAAATCTGGAAAGATGGATTAATTCTGTTTTCTGTTTTCTGATGCATGGTGCTGTATGTAAACTGTGCCTTTGTAAATAAAATCAAAAAAATCTATAGGTGCCGCCTGTAAAATTCTCAAATATATTTACTTAATCTACCGAAATGACTTCATACACACAGGTGGTATATACTATAATAGCCATTAGAGCCTTGTGTGCACAGTGCTTAGGGAGTCTAATTACTTCCTGTTGATTACTGTAAGTAATGAGATAGAACTCAACAGGGACCTACACCAGGTTAGAGATATTGAGAAACAAATTAGTCCCCCATATGTCACTTAACTGGTCAGTACAGATGACCAGCTGTACTGATGGTCTACTGACCATTGTACTAATGACTGACCAATACATCACTGTTGACCAGCCGTGACAGATCAGGGTGACCCATAGGAATTGTAATGTATCCTGACACCCTCCATGTATCAGTGTCCAGTTGGTGACATGATCCCTAAACCAGACGACTTATTGTCCTATCTCTCCTATAGACCATTAACTCACAACTTAGTGCCTTGTCTCATTAAGAAATGCCTAAAGGTACATCTTTGAATATTAGTAATGATCATGATAAGGTTTTCAAACCAAAAAATAGTATATGACAAAATTGAATTAAAAACTATAACAACATAGACATTTGAGATTCAGTGAAACAGTGAAACTTGCGATTGATAACTGCTGATGATTCAAAACATTAATGCAACTGTGGAATTTAAAAAGATGGTAGTGTATTTGCTGTATATGACATTCTCTGTCAACCACACACAGTATCAAGTAGGTATGCACCATTTATGTTGTTTGCTCCGGTCCAAACCAGTTTTACCCCACACTGACAGGGTAGCAAGGTGTTGGAGAGATGCCATGGGAAGACATTCAATCTTTATGTCCATTTGGTTGGAAATGTTGTATTAGTGTAGACTAAGAGACGAAATTCTTGTGGTTGAGGTTTTATCAAAAAGATATATATTATAGGACACATAGACTTGAGATGTTTGTCATTTTATTTTTCTGATTTTTTTTTGATTTTATATATTGCTTAGAGTTTATCAGCTACTTAAAAGTCTTTTTGATCTTCGCAATCTTTTTATTTTTTTTGTAGGCATTCAAAATGTAATGATGGAAGCATGGGTATTTAATATCTGAAAAGAAAGTTTTATCATCATATCACATCATGTTTTGGTAGTTTGGATGCTAACGAGAAAATACATCATTCAGATGTTATCTGTGTAATTGTCATGTTTGAAGTCTAGCATCATCAATCCCTGTGATGTTTGGTGAAATGTACCTATAAATTAATAGAAGTTACCTGAATGGTCTTACTTAAGACATGTCAGGTGCATAAAGAACAGTTCAACACTTGCATCTATTTCAATGAGGGCATATGTAATAAGTAAGGTTTTAGGTCTAACAAAGCATACCTCAGGCAAGTGCTATTGTCTTTTTTAAGGCATACTTTTAATTGAGTTTTTTTTAAATCTAGGCAATTCCAATTATAAAGTAGCAGAACTCATTTTAGAATCAGAAACTTATAATACAGTGTTAAGTACATGTTTTTTTTATTCCGGGTTCTATACTGTGTAAATATATATTTAGAGCCTGCAAGATGTTAGATCATTTCTACAAGTTAAATTAGTCCTGAGTAGCCTCTAGGTGTAGTGGATCATGTCGTTTGTCCCAGGTTATAACTGTTGGCAGGTCACCCATCAATCTCACGACCTGATGGAGCCTATCACACATTACCTGTCCTGCTGTCAGGACATCAGTTTGTTTACAAAACCAGTGAGATATCTCAGAACCTGCTACTTAATCAGAAACACCTCCTTGTGTTTGTGGACTGATGTCCTCCAACTTTAGATAAAGAGGTTTCTGGAGTAACATTTTATCATCTTGAATTTTTCTTAACAGTGTTATAATATGAAAAAAGTAAACTTGTCTAGATTACAGAGGATCTTCCACATACTTGGTTAGTTCCAAAATGTCCAGGCAAATAAGTTCCCATGAAGAGAAATGATCTCGTTTGTCCAGATCTTGTGTACATTGAGGACCCACACTTTTAGTATTCTCTTCCTGTTTCTCTTATTTGTTCACACCTTTATATTGATTTGTAAACACGTTTACATTGTAAAATGAAGGCAATGTATATCATATTTAAAGCTGGAGAAAACATGTCATATGTCTGTGGAATGTGTCCTTTGTTCACCCCAAAGGCAGCCTACAGAATGCCTGCTATGTAGGCTGTTTATGATGAGATATACAGGTATATGTGTCTACCTGTATACAGAGGTGTAATTTAATGACTTTCTGACATGTACTTCACCTTATAAAGAGATAAAGATGTTAAGGTTTATGTGGGCCCTTCCCTATAAATCACAAACTTTGACTTTAGATTTTATTTTTATTACTGTGCATGCTTTCCTGTAGGTTGTTTCTGGTAAATAACAGTAGCCTCCTGGAGAGATATTTTTGGAAAATTGGAATATCTCTTTATCATATGTACTGCAATAATCTTATTTGATAAATGTTAATTTTACCATTTTTTTTCCTAAAAAACTGGTCAACTGATTCACTATGACAAGGATCGGAAATCCTGTTCTATACTTTTATTTTCCTGTGTAGGTAACAGTATTGTGTCTGGGGGACACAACATGGCTGTGTAGGTAACAGTATTGTGTCTGGGGGACACAACATGGCTGTGTAGGTAACAGTATTGTGTCTGGGGGACACAACATGGCTATATTGTCAGTGTCCTACACTGTAATAGGTNGAGGTGGTTTCATGTAATATTGATCACAATAAATAATATGGTGGTTATTTTTTAGACATTGATGTGGTAAATGTTCTGTGCGATCATTCAATAAGCAAAAAAACTAAACTATTAATGGTTATTGATTGCTGATGTGTTTTTTTATTTATTTTTATACCAGAGACTCTATTTGACTTCGAGGAAGGGGGGGGGATAAGATATTGTTATTTTTACCCCCAAAAAAACCCACTTTCTTATTCCTGAAATTTAAGTGCTTTGGTGACGAATTTTCATATAAAACATTTTTCATACAAAGTAGTTTACTAATATTTCCTGTCAACACAAAGGCAAGTTTCTTTTAAACCAGACAGAGTTATCTCCCTTCTTCCTGATAAATGGGTTTGATGTCTCTCTGCATGGCCATGGGTATAGACAAGCAGCATTTTTACTGCCTACAAAACCATTTCCTTATATACATGCATCTACCTACATGAGTGATTTTGTTTTATATTGTTTTAGTCTTGACTTTTTCCGTCAATATTCAGTACTATTCAGGTTTCAGGATGGATTTACTACAATGTAGTCTGGTTATGTACACGTTCACAGTCAATTCTGTTACTGTTGCCTGACAAAAAAAACATTGCTTTCAGATATCATCAATGACAAGTTTGACAACCAAGTTTGTAAGTGATGTCGGTGAAATATCCATCCACCACCTGTAATTATGTGCTTTTTGTGTTGGAAGTCTAGGGGAGGCAACTCCAATAGAACTGTGACATCTGCTTTTACTGGTTCTGCACATACCGAATCTACAGTTACACCCTGTAATAAATACTCTGTTTACTCTGTGTACAAACTCACATACTCATCCATGATAATAACTTCTAAAACAGTCAATAACTAAAAAGATATCATTGATTTAAACATGCATTGTTGCTCATTTTAACTTCATTGTCAGATTATCAAAACAAGTTAACTTCATCATAAGCTTACCAAAATAAAAAAAACAAATTACCGTGTATGTATTTGTAAAAGTACCCTAACACATTATGTGGATTGTGAACTCCTGAAGTAAGGTAAACTATACATTTTGTATCCAATCATTTATATAGTACAGTGTATAAAAACTTGTATCTTGAAAGCTTCTCCTAACTGACTGTGTTAGCAGGTGGTACAGGTACTCATTAGATCTTCCTAATAAAAAATCTATCAATAAATCTGCACAGATGCTCAGGTAGACAGTATAAAATAATATATATCGCATCTCTAGAAGTTGACTCTCACCCTGAAAAAATAAAAAATACCAAGCATTCAATTTTAAAATCTGTTTAACTTTCATTGAACGCATGTTCTTTATTAGAATTGCTTAACTCATTCACCCCTGAAGTTTCATAATGAACTATTCCAACCTTTATAATGGAAGGGTTCAAATGTGTCTTCAGGGGTGAATGAGTTAATGATAGAATCAAAAGGAAAATCATAATATTTAATATATGTAGATTATATTTTATATGTGTATATTTATTTGTACTATAAAGCTACAGGTGTGTGGATCATGGTAAAGTGTGTTGTATTTCATTGTCACCAGATTTTAGTGAAGATTCATATTGTGATTAAAACTACTGGTATGGGGATCCCATTGTATAACGTCGTATGTAATCTAACCTTCCGACACCAGGAAGCAATCCTGGTGACATCTGAAGGATATTTATCTTGTAACTAATTATATATATATAATTATCATTTATATAATATGTATAGCTACTAACGGCATGTAAAACTTTGTACAAAATCATAAAAAAAATCTATACCATTTTACTATATATACTGAATTTGTCCTAAAATTCTCAATGTGTACTTCTAAACAGTTTGAAAAAAATGAAAATAAATCTTTCAAAATTTCCAAAAATAAATCTTTCAAAAAAAAGTTTATTTTTTCGATAAAGATGGAAAATTATGGGATAGGGCACTTACTGGGTCAAGTATGATTCATATTTACTTTTTAAGACAGAAATGATTGTTGTGTTGCAAAAAAAGTCTGATATGATATATGTGTGGTTGTTGACTCTGCAGTGGCTTAGAACAATATGACTTGTACAGTAACTAGTTTGAAATGTGATAATTGAAAATGATCGGGAAAGGGACCTGTAAAAATAGTAGCGCAATTTTTTTCCATATGATTCATGATAGAGCTTTATTTTTGTTTATTGAAAAATTATGCTTTATTATTTCTATTTCTTAAAAAGCTATTATTGACTTGAGAAGTCATGAACAATAATAATTCAAGGATTGATTGTGAACATATTACACATCATGTCAAATGTTTGTTTCTCTTCAGAGCTACCATGAAGAGCTACTGAAGCAGTCCCCCCGCCACAAGCTCTTCAATGAATATGCCAAGCAGCTGCTGCAGCGCCGCTCTGGCTTGAAAGGGGAGATAATGAAATGCCTGAACCACGTAAACAGCCAGTGGGAGGTGGTGGAGAAGGCCGTGTCCTGTAAGGACATTTGGCAGGATAAGGAAACCATGCTCAAAGGTAATACAATGTACACACACAACAAATATAAACTTTTTGGAATTTATTCTTTCTGGGTAAATTATATCATTTTGAAAAAAAAAAACTGCTATTTTTATGGTTATCATTAATATTATTTATTTGATAGATCTTGAGGCGGACATTGTGTGCCTGAGAAAATGGCTGGATGGAGTTGAGCACAGTCTGTCAACCTTCCAAAAACCTAATTTCACTGATGACGAGCTACACAGGAAACTCCTGGAGCATCAGGTATGTTGTCTGATTGATTTCAATCTATAAACTCTGCTGTGAAATAAAGCTGGCTGATAAGGTATAGTTATTAAACCCATAGGAAGATTTACAATGGTGTCGGATGGTGGCCGACAAATTCAAACAAAGGGAAACAACCGGTGTTTGTGAGTTTTGTGGTCAAAGGGAAATAACTAAAGAAAATAGTTTTTCTGTCTAAGGGAAATAACTCATGGAGGTTTGAAAGAATTTATTGGTAGCAAAATTTAATATATTGGGGATTTTGTAAGGTGAAAGGCATGTTGCCAATTTAGTCATGAGGTGTCAGAGTTGACATACAGTTGACAGGGTCTTGATTATTTGATATATCATGACAAGACATAATTAAGAATGTCTTTGTCATCAAATCAAATTTGAAAAGATGTGCCCTGGTCTAAAAGTTTATTATATTTATTTGATTGATTGCCCTACCAGTGATAGAAGTAAAAACAGTAAAATCGTTTTAATCAAGTTAGAAGACTGGAAAAAAACACTTCTTCAGCTGGAATGTTACAGTGGCTTATTGTTTAGAAATTTTACCTGTCCCATAACTTGTCTAAATGTTAAAAAAACAAAACAATGAAAAATGGGAACAAAGAATTCTCTGAGTGGCTGTGTTGTGTTAATTTAGACATCTCTGCTAAATTGAACCCTGTATAAACCAGATTTACAAGCAGATCCTAATGTATAATGTTTTATCTTAATGGAGCCTGTTTGTAATGGAAAAGCAGACACAGTGACAGTAGTGTTCATTTTAGAAAAATTGACTCATTGGTTTTTGATTGAGACAGGTCAGACACAGTAATGCTCGTTTTAGAAAGGTCAGACACAGTGATGTTCATTTTAGAAAGGTCAGACACATTGGTGTTGATTTGGACAGGCTGCCACAGTGATGTTTGGTTTAGAAAGGTCTGACACTTTGATTTACGGTTTAGACAAGTTCCACTGTATGTAAACCCTAGTCTATTTATAGATGAACGCGTAATAGAACTTTCTTCACCATATACATCTGATTTGTGTGATTCCAAACAGGGATAAATACCCTGAGGCCCCACCCCAGTGAAAATGAACTATGATTACCCTTTGAACATATTTAGATGTCAATTACACAGTGGTGTGTGTATTACGGTCTCGTGTCGTCGCGTAGGAAGTAAGGGATTGATTGATGCTCTGGACTCCTAGTGACAGGGACGCTGGTGTGTGATGAGTTATGACGAGCCGTTCACCCATCTGACTTTTTACCTGCTCAGGTGTACAGGTTGTAGAACATAAATACACACCTGAGGCAGGTATTTCTTAAATTGCTTCCTGCTGAACCGGTGATTTGTATTTGTTTATCTATATTTACATGGTCACAAGGCTACTATTGTTACTGTATCTGTATTGTAATATACATGCTGAACAGGTATACAGTCCTATTACTTACACTGATATGGATTATAGAAATATTTACCTGTCTGTGTCAGGTATATAACTGTTTCTGATCAGGATCAGCAGGACACACCTTCAGTTTTATTGTGAAAATTTTAGATGAATAATTTTGACAACCCTGGGGATAAAAGATTGATCAGGTAATCTAGATATTCACAAAACATCTGGCTTATCTGTTGTTTCATGATTAATACCCGAGGACAAGATACATATCTCCATACCAAGGTACATGTTTACGATATTAATCACAGGTAAGTGCTGAAATGTATGTTAAAACTTTAACATGTACATAAACTGTCTATAAGAATTATACTGTTTGTACAATACCTGTAAGATTGTCAACGAATAGACATTTACCTGTAGAAAAGAATGTCTAGTATTGATACAATATTACCATTGACCTGGAAAGGATTTGTGATTGATACCTGTAATTTGTATTATAAATAGATGGATTAGACATAGTAAAAGTAGGGAAATATTTGTATTTGTGATCACGTAGAACATCACCAATAGCTTTTGGCACACCCTGTCAAAATACTGACGATTTACAAACCATTGTACGTAATTTTGTTCGAATATGGCTCTTAAATACGAATTAAAAGCTATTCTTTTCATTTATGTCAGGGATCAAGTCCTTTTATAGAGTAACGTTTCATTCATGTAGAGAAAAAATAACAAAAATTCAACAATGACATGTTAATTGAAACCTCCTGAATTGAAGTTTATTCAATTCTGTATTTAAATTTTTGTATACAAATTTTTGATAAATTCTTAAAGTATGTTCCTGCTGATTTTCACACACGTTAATTGAGATATGCTGGATTGTTGTTGTGAAATTAGATTTGAAATGTTGAACACGTTTATTCAAATCTATATTAAACTTTTAGTATACAATTTTTCAATAAATTCTAAAGAATGTTCTTGCTGATTCTTCATAAAGAAAGCATTATGGTAACTTATCCGTTACCTTGTATCAGAGAACATCTGAGCTTTCCAGTAATATCAACAGCGATATCAAATTTAGATATATATATAAAAAAAAATATGTTCCAGTCATGCTATTTGTAATATGCATCTGAAAGTTAACATACAGATATATATCATACATGTTTATATCCACATAAAAACTGTTCCATTTATATTTAAGTAGCATCATTGGTATCCACAGTAAGAAATCTTAAGGCATTGTGACGGCTTATTATTTTTTTTTCATTTTATACAGTTTCAGTTTACATGTTTACCTGAATACACAATAGGAAGTAAAGGAACATGTGTTTTCTCAAGTTTCAGGATTATTCACAATTAGAAAAAAAAAGTTGTTTTGTTTTAAAGTAATGATTAAGTCATTTGATTCCAAGTGAATCTGTTATTTTAATCCTACTCTGGATCTAGATTTACCAAATGTAGCTCGCTCGATGATAAAATAGGATAAATTACATAAAAAAGTCTGGATTAACTTCTGCTGTTTTGTGTCTACAGCAGATTATATTTCACTTTCAATATCGCCTTACTGAATCAATAGCGATTCATTTCACCAGACTAAACCCAATGCACTGTTCAGTGAAAGAGAATAAAATTGATTTTTACCTCAATATAAAGTGACGAGCATGGCTTAAATAGAATGGCTACGTGTGAATATGTTTTATAAAAGTCATCTTTTTGACATGTTGATTGACAGCTGTTGTGTTCGTTGGTGTAATGAAGTGCAGATCTGTGAATTGTCACAAAAGATTAGCGTAATGTGTGTAACAGCGGGTTGCCTTGGTGACGTGTCAGATACAAGCTGTCGATGTTCACTTTTATGAATAGGTCACATGATTTTTGATACAATGTATTTTTATTCAGTTTAATTAATTTGATTTTAGAAGTATAGGAGGAGAATGAGTTCTTATGATTTCAATCTGAAGTAGTGTTTATAACTTTTTTTACTTTTATTTTACGAAAGACTTTGACTGCAAAGTTACGACCATTTTAACCCATTTACAACCTTCTTATCCATTTCGTGTTTACAACTGTGTCTACAGGTGCACTACTTAACAACCATTAATTGTACCTGGTACTAGTGAGGTTACATGTCCTCTTCCACGGGCTGACAACTATTTTAAATAGTTTTAAAGGTTGACTTTAAGGAAAACTCTATTTGATTAACAGTAATGTCTTTATGAAGGTGTTAAAATCTGTGTAATCAGATGTATCTTTTGAACACTGACCTTTTCTCTACTAGTGTGGTCAAGTATGCTGTTGCATTACAAGGACAATGTGTTGCATGTTGTTAAATGGTATCGGCAAATACCACTGTCACTCAAGCTCTACAGTGTAAATTGTGTAATCCAAGTATGGGAAATCTTACATTGTTCAGCTGTGGAGATTTGGAGAACGGCTGCTTGCAGCTTAAACAGAATTGGTGTTCCCTGGTTGAAATATACAGATCATAATTCATCATGCTCCCCAATGCCAGAAAGCATTTTGGGATCCAAGTGTCTTAAAGAATCTGTAGCAAAAATATAATTGTTTTTTAGGATTATAATGTTAAATGCCCGGAATCATGGTGTTAAACTGCCTTTATCCAGTTAAATGAATGGTATTTCATTTCAGTTTTTTTAACATTTGAACACGAAAATAGTTAAGAGTTTAAATCATTAGCGTTCCAAGAGTAGTCCTGAAGCAGGGAAAGAAATCGCTCACACAAGTTAATGGTATTCTGGGTGAATTTTGACATCTGAAGATGTGAGGGGCTGCAATGTAATCTAATTTTCATAAACCTAATCAGACTGTGGCTGTGCTATTGATCTGTGATGAAATTAAGCCTCGATCTGTCACTAAAGTGAAGGACGTAGCCTGAAACAGCGGACTGTTGTGCCCTAAAATTCAATCCCATACACAGGGATAGTATACCATTATATGTTTCATACTTTTATTTTAGTAAAACAAATCTTGTAGGCGCTTCCTGGTAAAATGTGGAAACAATTAATAGATGGTTGTGATTATATTCATTAAAATCATGTTATGCGGAGAGTTTTGAGGTTGAGAGAATTGTTAGTGAAAGGATAGTAAATTGATGTACTTTAGTACGTATCAGGTTTTGGGAAACTATACAACAAAATACAGACAAGAAAGGTTGATATAAATATTAATTAGACAAATAGATGTTACAAGGTCAATATAGCTTTCAAAATACATTTGAAAAAGCTTAGCAAAATGTGTCTCTATAGATAAAATTGATGCACAACGGTAAAACGATCCGAAAGGAGCAACCCTCCTTTATGATTATTTCTAAAATTTGCTGACAATGTTTTGTAGAGTGCTAATGGGAAGTTGTTTGGATCCACTACTATACCTACTTCATATTGACTAGTGTTTATATGAAATCCTCATATGATATAAATTACATAGTGTTTAGATTGATCCAACTTCATTATTTTTTACACTTAACTACCAGAACAGATAAGTATGGACACACAGATGTTAATATTACCTTTTAATTACTTCCATTTGCAAAAATAAAAATTAAACAAATTGTCGGCATCCAATAAGATCTGGATGGTTAAATG